ATAACCAAGACAATCAGCTGCTCTGTTGTTTGTACAGAGACACTATTGAACCTGTCTCGGACACATACTCAGCTATGTATTTATCTTGCTCTTGAACGACAGGGCATTTTATTATGCTTTACTTTGACTAGACTGCCAAATGAAACTCAGTGTCCTGAGCTGAACCCCAGGCTTGTGGTATAGTGTCACCTCCTAGAAAAAGGCTGAACATGTCCGTACATGTTATCTGCAACGTTTTCAAGTCATTCGGATTACCTCGACTTCATGTGTGTTAGAATGCCGACAATGGTAGCCTGCCTCTTAATCGCATAAATGGGATTGCGAAAAACTTGACAGGCTGATAAAATCAAACCCCTTTAATGCTAGCATTGGGTGGCTGACAATGAAAGATGTCTCAAAACAGGCCTCAAAATCATAGTAAAATCCCCCCACACACACGTACCCACATTATATGTAGTGTGGGTGGTATTTTCGTTTTTTTAAAGAATCATTTTATTCATGTATTTTAAGGACGAGGGCATGTCAACATACAATTGAGTTTGATTGGACTTTAGGTTAATAACTATAACTATAAGAAGCCTTCTCTCCCTTTTTAACCGTGTTTACTATTTTATTTTTGCATGATTATGGTTGCAGTATATTATTAGCATTAGCATTTTTTCCATTCCATTAGCATTTTTTCCCCCAAAACATCTGCAACCCTATCAGAATAGCACCTGGCTGGCACCATTTACATTTCAAATCATATGTTTGTTTTCTCTCCACCAATGATAATGTACTTCACCACATTCGCTGTAAAGAGTGAGGACCACTTCAGTCTCTTAAGCACTCCGGCAGAGCTTTCAGCGTGGCACTTAGGACTACTTAGCAGCTTCATATTTCAAAAATATGTCAGGTAAGCCTGACCAGGAGAAGGCTGGTCCCTTGATGAAGTGGGCAATGAAAGAATTCATACTGGACATCTCTCAAGGCAGAGCTATGGTCCATTTGGAGAGTCATGAGAGGCTTGTGTTTTTAGGCGTGTTCGCACCACAGGAACAAGGAGCGATTTTGGAGGAACTAATTTAGCTCCTTTTTTAGAGTCGGCCTAAACCAGCACTAGGAACTACCAGTGACGTTAGTACCAGTACCAGTCAACTTTAGACTTTACCTATTTTAACGATCTGAAACGCAAGTGTCAAAATGTAAAGCGCAAGTAACTTTGTGGGCGGATCCCGGCGCTGTTGCTATTTTCCCGGCGGGATAAATGCCTCTTGCGCCTGGCGCAAATCTAAAAGGGGTTGGTCTGAAGTAGCTTCATTATTCATAGGTGTGGTTTGGGCGTAACGGAAATAAACCAATAAGAGCGTCATATCACATTCCCTTTAAGAGCATGATGAACGAGGTGCGCTTGCTCCATGGCGCAATTCTATTTTAACGGCACATTTACCAGACGCGCTTCAGCATCGGTTCACAGCCGAGGAGATCGATGTTCTCGCCAGGGCCGTAAAAGAAAGAGAAGGGACATTGGGGATGGGACAAACCCACCTAAATTAGCTTCGGTTAAACATGCATATAATAACTTGGGTAAATGTGTAAGTTTTATGCCTATTTTTCCCATCGTCATGGACACAACAATGATTTCCCTCATGTTCATATATTTTCCTTATAATAATGTATCATTTGCAAAAAGTAAAATGCATCTGTGTAGATGAGAGAATCCTCTACAGTGTATGCGCGTTGTTCACACTCTGTATTATGGCCAAGCATGCGCGCTTAAAATAGCATCTGAATGTACGCGCAACGCGCCACTGACTTTAGACCAGGTTTTTTTCTGGTCATTGGCACAATTGTTTTCTGGAACTGCAAAATAGCACTAGGGATTGTTTGCGCCGACACACGCCTCCTTTTTGCACCAACCCGCCCAGGGAGCGCAAGTTCATTTCCTAGTTTACCGTCGTGCGTCTGTGGAGGAAAAAAGCCCGCTTTGCGCGGGTGCAAAATAGGAATGATAAATGGGTCAGTGAATAAAGTCATTTGCGCCGGGTGTAAGATAGAGCCCTAGGTCTTTTTCACCTGGGCTGTAAGACAGACCGTAAACTAATGATGAACATGGAGAATGGGAGCGGTGTGTGCTCAGCGTAGACAGTAAAAGAAATTAACAGAGCGACCCCATTGATTTCAGCGGAGAAGACTGAAGCCCGATTTTTGCACTTCCTGTCTGATGTCTGAGTGACTGAGCGTGATGACAGTCTGACAGTCGTAAATCTTCTAGTAGCTGTGCCAAGACAAAACATTGTTGAAATATTTTGTCCCGTTGCTTTTATGGACTCTCTATCTATGGGCTTTTCCCATAGACAGTAAAAGGCTTCTCCCTCGACTTTATGCCTCAATGTCCCCCCGATTGCCTTATAGACAGTAAAAGATTGCCTGCGAGCTTCTCCTCCTGTCTATACGGTAATGTCTCTATTGTACGACAGAAAGTTACGTAGTGATGACGCAATTGTTGGCCTATTTTTACAAAAACGGCATCTACGGGGCCATAACATAAGATACAAAGTAATGGAGCGTTTTCTACATTGTCGTGTTTCTTTAGAAATAAATAATGGACAAATGAAGTCTTTGGACACCTCCAGATGTAAAGTTATTCGCTGTCAAAGTGACGCCAAAATGAATGGGAGTCAATGGGATGCTAACAGCAGGTGAAGTTCTGCTACAATGGTGGCTCCCGCGAGGCTTCAACTTCCGGCTGATGATTACCCCCTTAGTGATCAGGCTCTGGTGTTTTCAGTGCCGTCAAAATAAAGGTCCACCACGCCGTCAAAATAAAAGTCACAACAAAAAGAGAAGCCCACGTCATTTCAGAGTTCCTACTGGCGGTACAAAAGCAACCAGGTAAATGTTACTAAGGGAACCATTACTTCTCGGGGAACCACCCTGGTGTCTAGTTCCTAGAACTAAGTTCCTAACTAGGGCCTTTCGCACCGGAGGAACCTATTCATAGTTCCTAGAATTACCTGGTGCGAAAGCCCCTATGTTCGAACTTCCCCAAAAAATGTTACACTGAAATGTTTGTCCATGTACAAATTAATGGTATACAATATATATCACACTTCATAATTTAAGTATTTACCAAATGTAAAAATTACACACATTTGAAATCAATAGAGCAAAGAACAAATCATTTTGGACTGGATTCCGACGTGCTTTGATACCTTCATAACTTAATACTGGAAGATAACTTTCAGACAAAGCATGATGGACCAGCAACTCTGCTGTATGGCTCTTAAATGGGCAGAATATTGCATCAGACCGCAAATAATTTAAATATATATTAATGCACATGGCTGAAGGTCTGTTCATATACCAACATGACTGTTTGTCACAAAAATTTGTGCAGATGTTTGCATGCAGTTTGCCCAAAATGGGCAAACAGAACATGAAAATTCAATCTCTTACAGTAGGTAGTGTGTTTAGAAAAGCAGAAATACCTCCAGTTCACAAAGTGATATACACAGCTGTCCGTTTCTGGTTTATATTTCTGGTCAGTTTTAAGTTTCCAATATATATATATATATATATATATAGACATTGACAAACTGAAGTTCAGATTTGTGTCTTTACTATACAGTTAATCAAAAACAAAATCAAATACAACAGTATAAAGAGACAAGATTGCCGCTTGATCGCCATCAAATTGTATATTTTTATATAACAGCTGCAACTCTAGGCATGTGACCAAAAGCATACATTTCATTGGTTGGCCAGCTTTATTCGCAAAGCTGTGGAAAAGAGATTAGGGTTTCACTTTATTTTGATGGTCCCTTTAACACATTCTATTGACTATAAGTAACTTTGCAGTGAGTAGACATGTAGTTGCAAAGTTACTTATAGTCAGAAGAACGTCTGTTCTTCTCCAACACAATAAAGAGTTAGCAGATATTGAGCAGACCATCAACAATACTCTTAGTTGACTTGTAGTTGCAAAGTTTTTTGATAGTCAAAAGAATGAAAAAAAATAAAATGAAACTAAAATCAGTTTCATTGCCACCATGTGAATGTTTCGTTCTGAACAGATGCATTAACAGCCGCTCGTACAGATTGAAATGTTTATCGCACCAAATTTTCGCACTGAACATTCATCTTGGTGTGAAAAGGCCCAGACAGTGCTGGAAACATCATAAACAGATTGTGTGGGGATGCAGTTAAAGTCATAACATGTCATTTAGAATCTGTAATCCGTATAAATGTTGCAAAAACACAGGTCATTAATTACTGTGTAGTACTGTATACAAATATATTTGAATAGACCGTGCTTCCCTCTTGAAAAGCCACTTATCAGCGCCACTGATAGTAACATGCACAAAATTGAAAAAAAGGAACAAGGTAGGCATGAAGGGAACTTGTCCTGAACAATCTCTGCAGGTGTAGACAGCCATATATGTGACAGTCAGCTGCTCAGACCTGCCATCAGTCATTTTGAGCAGTTCTCTGTGTGTTTTTTTATGCAGTGCGAACACCTGTGGAGCGCACCAAGCCAAAGTCAACAGTTCATGTTGGGATCACAGCCCATCTCATCCGTACGTTTCTGACCACATGCATTACACAAAATTCAGGATTACAGATACTTCTTTGAAAGCGCTTACAGGCACAGGTGGGACGAGGTCTTTTGAAAGGTATGCTTTACTGTACGGGAGTAACCAGACCCAGTTAGGCTAGATGTGCAGGAAGTGCCGAGGGAAGAATACACCTCACGCACATGAAAAGGTGCTCAGATCTGTTCCACAACAGGCACACAAGGTCTGACCTAGATTCCCCCTATCCCGAAAAAAGCTGCTCTGCCAAGTAAGGCAGGGTGGGAAGGGCTGAGCCGTGGCGCGTAGCTTTGCCCCATCTCTCCCTCTCCCTCTCTCTCTCTCTCTCTCTCGCTCTCCCAAACATGGGCGGAGTGTAGTGTGGCCTTTTCAAACTCACCCGGCTGGCAAGCAGACTGGCTTTTGGAAGCAGGCAATGCTGTTTTGAACCGCTGCCAAATGAGACAGCCTCTGCCGGCGCAGCTGAAACTTTTTACAGCCTCCCCTCATTTCGACAGGAAGAGACACAGGGAGCAAATTTGTAGGAGAGGGAGAAAAAAAAAGGGCGAAATAAATCTTTGTAGCGTCTGCAACTAAGGCACTGCGTCAAGGATTTCCTTCTGTACTTTCACGCTCCCCTACTTTGGCAAGGTGCCATTCGAAAAGGTTTAAAAGTGATCTCTCTCTCTGCAGGGAGTATTGAACGGGGGAACGGATGTGCTAGGAAGTGAAGAGTTCACCGAGTTCAGTAAATGAAAAATATGTAAATGCATCAATAACAAAGGGACTGTGACGTCACGCACTGTGCTGCCCAGGACAGTGCCTGCGAGTAGACGGGACAAGCGTGCGCACATCTGACAAGATGCCATCTGCGTACCATAAAGAGGATGCCTGTTTTACATCAGAACTTTCTTGCACAGGAAGATGACCATGTGAATTCTGTTGCTGCAACGACTGACACGTTGTAGTAACTTCCTCTTTCACGGTAAGGACTTGACAAACTTTTAGTGACTGCAAACTCCACTGCAAACTGCGATAGCATCTCCAGTGCGTATTTTGATACCATTTTGCCACTCTTGACTAAATGACTGCATGCAAAGTGCAACTTGGACGATGATGTCAAACACATGGCGAGTCATAAAACCAAATGAATCAGGCAAGTGGGATCAGCCAACTGTGGTGTTTTTCAAGGTTCTTTGAGGAAGTACTGCGGACCACTCATGTTTTCCTGATAAAGAGATACAAAACGCAGGCAGTGATAGAACAGCCTCTGGATGTGTATAATGATTAGCGAGGACTATAACTGGACGGCTCAAACTACCTGGGACAGATGCCAAATGCTGACAAAGGCAATCATTGCATTCTCAGGGGCGAGCAAAATCAACTCTTCGTCCTCTCGCACTTCTTTTGGGAGGGTTATTTATATTACTCGAGAAACCACCGAAACCATTGACTAATTGCTGAAGGAGTCGGTCACATGTTTTGGCTAAAGGGCACAACCCCCCCCAAAAAAAAAAAAAAAAATCATGTAAGTATCGACCAGTTCTGACTCTTTCTCGCCTCTTCTGTCGGGACCCGCTCGGCCGATCAAGTTTTTCCTTTAAATAATCAATTCTGACCGCTTATTTTCCAGACGTCTGCTTGGAATAACTTTGACTGGGGCAGATGGGTTCAAGCTGACTCTCTTGCATTCCCATAAATACAAGTTTATCATGCTAGTCTAGCAAAAGCTAGTCTGCTTTTTCTGCATGGCAAACCCTCTCTTCTTGATCTCTGCGTTCTTTTTCATTTCTCAGTCCCTTTCTTTCTCCACCTCCTCTCTCGCTCTCTCAGCTTCTGTCTTTCTCTTCGCATCCTGTGCCAAAGTGGGCAGGGAGAAAGAGCTCGTGGTGAGGCGGGTGAAGCGGAGGCCGCTGTACGTGCTCTTTCTTCAGCCACAACCCCATGGAAGAGCATGTTTGGTGGCAGCACATAGGTCTCTCTCCCCGAGATAGGCGTACTATGTGCACGAGTCTACCTCTTCTCGCCGCCATGACCCTGCCTTGTGTTCTTTGACGTTGAAGCCTCTAGTCTGCAGGTATTCCGTTCTTTCTTTCCCCCGCTTTCATACTTTGTAATATTCCACTGATTATTTAGTCCCTTTTTAAGCAATTCTCTTAAAGCATCATTGTCGATTATTCTACCCAGCTGCTCTGGCTCTCTTGTTCACTGTTGTCTTCCTCTTGTAAACGTGTCCATGCCTCAGATTCCGCCATTTCTACTCCGCTAAACGACTTTCGGACAAATGATTGTTGATGTCCTTTTGATAAATGTTTTTTGGTTCAATTTTTAAATGCATTTTGTTAAGAAGTTATTTTGCAATTTGGCTCACAGTCCTTCGTATAGCATGCACGTTCCCGTAGTTTTGGGTCGTTTTGGGCAGTTCGTTTTGGGGTTCAAGTTTTTTTTAAAGGATTTTAATGATTTGAACAAACAAATGGTGTTTAGCTGCTTGTTTGGATGCTTTTGGATGGAAAATAACAGTGATATTTTTGGATATGATGGTAGTGATTCGTGGATGGCCTATAAAATGCCTCTTATGTCAAATATGTATTGTACATCCCTCTCATTTCTGTACAACAATTGCCTTTTATCTTTGTCGACTCTATCACTGCCAGTTTTTTATTGTATCTCTCTCTGAAAAAAATTCCCATGAGGGCTTAGCACTGGAAATAATTTGCATTTAAGAAAGCATAAGTAAAGCAATCTTGCATGTACAGTACAAGAGCATTTGGTTACTAATTTGGCATTGGTATTGATATAATCAAATGACTTCTTTTTATATTCAGATACTATTCTTTTAAAAGGTTGCTCTGTTTGTATTTGACTGCCTTTTTTCCCGTTGCATTTGCTATGCGATGAATGCCAAAATAAACCGAGTGGGGCTAGTTTTTGAAAGACAATAATGAACCGTTTAGGAACTATTTGTATGCGTTATAGACCAAATGACATTTGTTATGCAGATAGTAACAGATCAAACTGATTTAAGAGAGTCTAAGACTAATTTAACATTTGTTATAGTAAACCGATCAAGTTTCAGTTATTGAACGTAACATCAGAGGGTGGTTCCAATCCATCGATATGATCAACTATCCTGTGAAATTCACAATAAACTCAAACCAAGTTACACCATTAGACCACCGAAATTAAACAAGCATCGATGACTATGATTTCAATCTGATTCGCATCTTTTTTAAAAATTACAAAGAAAAGATTTCAAGATGGCGTCGACATGCCACGTGTTTGTGTACTGCTGTATTTTACGAGCGACTTTTTGATGCAGTCTTTTATCAAACAAATCCTTATTTAGAAGAATATCAGCTTTCGGCATGCAAACAAAAGTGGAAAAGCTGTGAAAAATGGTGGTGTTAGGTTGAAATAACACATGATACGCTGATGTTTGTTGTTTTAGCTATAGAGCAAGGATTTTTCTTGGATCACGTTCTTTTTAGTGCTTTATTACTCGTCAGCGGAAGGAACGAGGGCAGGTAATTTCCTGTTTTTTTTACAGTAAAACAGAGAAGTTTGAGTATACATGTTTATTTTGCTCATAGACAGAGGGAGATGGCAACAGGAAAAAAAAAGTGGCGGGAGGGAGGGAGGAAAGGAGAGCATTTCCTCCACCCCCTGTTCTCCTCAGATGAACTTATCATGTAGCTTCATATTTTCTCTCCCTCACGCTCTCCTCCCCCCCTTTCCCATACAGCCTCGCTCCCTCCTACGTTTACTGTAGCTGACGATCAGATGCACCCTGGGCCCCGACCCCACATTAGCAAACAGGAAGTTTCAAAACAAACCGAGTTTAACCCTAAAAATGCTTACATTTCACTGCACAATCAGATCGACAACTTCATGCTAGAAAAGACAGAATACAACACCAGTTTTGCCATCTCCAAGGATTTTGACGTCATATTCAAGCTTTATTTGGAAGAAGTGTTTATAACGAAAGCGGTAAATTCACTGCAGGTGAGAAAACACTGCTGTTCACCTCCAAATGCACAGACACGCAGCATATGCTCGGAGCCTATTAGTTACACGGCCCCAGACGGGGGCAGAGATCTAAGTCTAATCTGCAAGGTCTTTCTATAAACAAGGCAGAGCAGAATCCTTATCGTTGAGTTTCGATGAGTAACAGCAGGCTCTCTGGAGACCACGTGACAGAGTCAACCAAGGTCAAGCCAAGCCCAACTTCCTGTTTTTTGGGGACCGCTATTTTTGCAATAAGGGCGTTTCTTTCTAGTGTAGGTTGATGACAGGGGATCATAAGCTGAATGATTAATTGCATTTTCAAAGAGTCAAAGCTTTCAATGGCTTTGAGTAGTGTGGAAGGAACAACTGAGGAAAAAGTCACAGGTTCAGTATGGTGTATTTTGTGTTAAAGAGCACCTATCATGGATTTTTGAAAATGACTGTTCATGTAGTGTGGAATATAGCTCTAAGGGATTAAAAAAACATCCTGCAAAGATTTATATCTGAAAGTGCACTGCATATAAAGTTATTGTCTTTTTAAAAGTGAGAGTCGACTCTGAGTCTATGAAATGAATTGTTTTTGAAACGAGTCATTAGCTGGTTCGTAGTGACGTAGATACAAAACATTAGCTCATTGGCCGCTCCCAACAACAGTATAGCCCGAACCTTGTGTTCTTATCATTTTAATGACGAATCATTCCAAAACATAAATAAATTCAAATGTGGATTTGCAAGGAGGGCTCAGTATCCAGTGTATATGGATCAGGTTCGTCCTCCTCCGAATCACAATCTGTAAGTAATATTAATAATGTTTGCTGTTATGTTTTCTGTAGCATGCACAATATAGTTATATTGTGTTGTGTGTGTTGTGTACACTCCGCGCAGCTTCTAAGCGAGGTAAAGTTAGTTTTGTTTTTGATATTCACCAGACATTCATTGAAAAATGGCAATTACCTCCTAAACGACTTAGCCAAATATGACTTCGCTCTTTATAATAAGCACTGCCCCTCAAAAGCCGCCGCAATGTGAGTTTCGCCGGGAAAGCTCGCTCTTGACGGAGACGCGAGTAAGGGACCGTGTGGAAAGTGCACTTTTTCTGACACGTTTGTTCAAACACTATATAAAATTTTCAACACTTGACAAGCTATAATCCATTAATGGTTATGGGCGTTCCGTTGCCTTGCCGATAATGTCTGCCTACGGTTTACCAATAACAACTGACTGGGTCATTTGACCAATCGCCGCAGATTCGCGTCACTCAAAGGAGGTGTTTGGGAAAATGAATCGTCGAACGAATCATTTGGGAGTCGTTGAGCAAATCGGGTAAAAATAAATGCATATTATAAGACAAATAAAGTGTTTTTTTTATCCTTGCATGCACGTTAAACTGTTTTTGGGAACTCCCAAAAACAAAAATAGGAACATTTCAAATGCTATGATAGGGGCTCTTTAAATAACTTGTGCAACAGTTGAACTAAACGATAATATGCGAGATGTGGACTCAACAATGCTGAGAATGCTGATCAGCTGTACAAACAAAAGAGATGAGAAGATAGCGACGGTTACTATTAATAGTAAAAAATGAAAAACATCTATTGTTTGTTCATTTGCATTTTCTTGTCGTTTATGAGACATCTTTTTGTTTTTACGAAGGCAAATTTTGTGTTATGTGGAAGCCGAAGGGGTTTTCAACGGGGAAGCTCCCCTCCTACGTTAAATTAATGCTGCACAAAGGCATTGTCTCAAGTTCTGTATTTTTTTCTTGTAATTGTGGCCTCCTCTAGTCTTCCTCTGCCAACATCCCCCACCCTTCAACACCCTACCCATCACCCTCTTCTCCGTTCATTGAAATTCAGCCTGGCATACAGGCACTGCCCCTTTCTTGGCACCAGACTCAGGGACTCAGCGACAGACAGGAGGGGAGAAAATTAAAATGAAAACATGAATATGTACCAATTTCTCAGTGAGTTTGTGCCAAACCGTTTAGCCAGTTTCATTGGATCTAGCGCTAGATTATCGATAGCCATTTTTGGTGTACAATTTGAGCAAGTATCCTATCCGCATATGGTCTTGGCAGCCATAACGCAGTGGGAGGCGTTCAGAAGGCTAATTGATTTGCCTGTTTACCTCCAGCGATTGGACGGGCACAAGGGCTAACGGCTGTGTCCTTTGATCGCTAGGTAAGATAGAAGGCCTTTTGTTGATCTGATTTCATTTGTTTACCTCTTTTCTGAGTTGCAGAACAGGGAAGCAAGATGTTCCTTTTGTGACTATATAAAAAAAGCTTGGTATATGATTATGCCAGGAGGTGGTATGGTGTGTAAACAAATGCAGGCAATTAAACATGGCAGCCGTTTATCGAGAGACGCAGAGAGGCGTTAGCTGTTATAGTACTTTGAGAAACAGGTTTTGTCTTGTATGACAGAGTGTGATATGGCAGAGATTATTTTAACAACTGCAATAATAATTTCTCTGTGATGTTTTTCATATATTAGAGACGCAGCCTCTGTCCCAAAACCCATTGAGCCGCCTACCTAGGGAGCGTTTTAAGACATCATAGGTGCACTCCCAACTTGAAGGTGGTTCCAAAAGGTAAGATTGAAAGGCAATGCATGTATTGCAATCCCAGAATGCACTGCAAGCTCAGTAAAAATATCAAAGATGGCGAGGGAAACTTTGATTAGAAATAAATGTCATTATATAACAAAATGTCTGGGAAAATAAGTCTAATTTTAAAGGTATTTTAATCGTATAAGAGTAGTATGGAATTAGCTTAGCAACATGCTAACAACAAACTCGACTGAAATCAAATGCATTCGAGTCTTACTCTTCCATATTTGTATGATCCACAGAGTTTCTGTCATGTCTTCCAGTATTCACTAGTGTGATCTATAATAATTGTGATGCTGGAATAACAGCAATATGATGTAGACTGCAAAGCAGTTCATTAGGTTTTGGAAAAACATAATTTAATTTGTAATGGGGAACCGTACACTCTCTTAATTAAGATAAAGATGCTTAATACATAAATGTACAATACACAGTGCGTCTCTCCGAAAAAAATAAATAAAATAAAAACGCTTCTAGCATGTTTTCACGATGCCACAACAGTTATTAACTTATTTTGGTTGCTAATCTGGATCCCCATATGTAGGCTACTGAGTAAAGCTCATTTAAAATTAATAAACATGTTGTATTAATAACATAAGACACAAATGCCTGCAATGCTACTAAGTATTACATGCAGATTTGTTAGTGCTAAGTTGCTTGTCCTAACACTGTGACTTTGTGCATTCTGTTTAAGAGGCTTGCTGTTTAAAAGACAAGCATTCGGAAATGTATTGTCTCTAAAACTAATCAATAACCTCATTTGAATGCCATTATTTAGTCTAGTTTTGTAAAAGACTTTTAGTAAAATTGTTAGCATTATGTTATGTCATTGTCATGTAATTTTAGTAACAGTGTTACTTTAGTATTATTTATATAATAGTATTTTATTATTGTTTTTAATTTGCTTTTATTTTTATATATTCATTTTATTTTTAATAATTGTAGTACTTCAACTTCAACTTATTTATTTCAGTTAGTTGCCAAGGCAACATTTCCTTTGCCCAGGGAATATTCTTTTTAAGTTTCAGTTTTCATCTAGTATTTATATTTACTGATATCTATTTTTAAAATAGTTTAAGTTTTAGTTTACAGTAACACTGTTTAGAAGACGTGGAACAAACTTAATATTGTTTCTATACAGATGGAAATTATTACATTATCATTTATAAAATTAGGATACTACTATATGTTCCATTCGATGTGAAATTAATATGTTAGTTCAAAAATGAAAATTCTGTCATTACTTACGCAAAGACTTTCGTTCAAACCAGTAAGACATTCGTCCATCATCAGAACACAAATTGAGATATATTTAATAAAATAAGTGATTTCTTCTATGCAACTACCATTGACAGCTATGCAACTACCACTACAGGCTTCAAGAAGTTCATAAAGTTATCGTAAAACTAATCCATATGAATTTAGTGGTGTAGTCCAAATTTTCTAAAGACACTTGATTGCTTTGATGAAAAGATTAATTTAAGCTTTTTATTCACATATAAACATTGATCAGCAAACACAAACAGAAGCGCAAGAACCAACCTCTTGCAGAAGCTCAAACGTGATGCGTAACATGAGAATGAACCTCATTGGTTCTTGCATGTCAAGTGAACATGCTTAAAGGGATACTCCACCCAAAAATGAAAATTCTGTCATCATTTACTCACCTTCAAGTTGTTGCAAACCTGTATGAGTTTCTTTATTCTGCTGAACACAAAGAAAGATATTTTTAAAAAACGATTGCAACCAAACCAATCGTTTTTTGGCAACATTGACTTCCATGGTAGAAAAAAAAATACTAGGAAGTCAATGGTGCCAAAAAAACTGGTTCCAATCGTTCTTCAAAATATGTTTCTTTGTGTTCAGCGGAAGAAAGAAACTCAAACCTGTGTTTGCAACAACTTGAGGGCAAGTAAATGATGACATAATTTTAATTCTTGGGTGGAGTATCCCTTTAAGCTTCTGTTTACCACAACTGATGTGTGAGTAGATTAAAATGTGAATAAAAGCCAAAATGAGATCTGTTCATCATATACAGCGATCACGTCTCTTCTGAAACATTTGAAACATCCACTACTTAAGTGTAACTTTAGCCGGCAATTAAAGTCACATTCCAGTAACTTAGTGGAAAATCCCTTAGAGTACAATACTGTATAGTTGGAAACATATGGTGATAATCATATTTACTTTTTAATTTAGCTTTTGAACATTATCTTTGTTCAAGTGCTATGCAGAACAATCACATGGATTTTCATAAAAATTATGATTTTTTGGGCTCATTCAACTCTTTCCTGAAGTCATTGAATAAAAGTGTTGATAGACATATCCAACTGATAAATCCATCAAAATGCTATTTAAATATTGCTGAAATATCTATCTTATGGTATCTTATGATCTTTCCAGTTCCACCCACACTGTCTCCGCTGAAAGCAACAGATAATCTCTAATAATCTCTTAAATACTCATGTCACAAAAATCAGGGCAGTTGTGTCTAATTTGCATTAGATATTTTAAAAATTGACTAAAGAGGACATTTACATATGAAAAAAATCAAAGCGCCACAAAAATGGACTTAAATATCTGGCAAAGCACCAAAGGCACTGGTTAGTCCCCATCAAGGCGATTACCACACATTGGAGAACAGAAGGGCAGACTACTTCGCTATGTAATCTAAAAATCCAAATGTCACATCTGTCAGACCATATTAGCATTTTTCACGGGTGAGGCATCATACGTTGTGCTAAAGAAGCAACTCCAGAATAGCTGGCACAATAAAACTACATGGTAAAAGCTATAACAAACTTTGTTTTTCTGTGACAATTGTGTGTTTTTATTGATTGAAAAAGCTGAAGGTGTTTGTGAGCATTATAACTATGAAAAATGAATAAAGCACCTTCACTGATAATGGATAAAGATAGTTAAGCTAGTGTTGTTGCACAGCTTATGACTGACCTGACCTTTACCGAAAGTTGGCACAGCAGTCACGACATGCCATCTCTCAGCTTCTGCCTCCTCTTTGTGTCCTAGCAGACAGCGTCCTGTGCCAAAACTTTTCAATCACTGCCCCCCCCCCCCCAAATTGGCCAAAAAAGAGCATGTGTATGCTAATTAGCTAAGAAGACTTTTGTATGTTAACAAATTGCTGGGAGTCAGTTCACTGAAAGAGATTTGCATGTATATTTATGCAAAAAAGACATGCTCCACCTATGAATGCCAAACAATAACTGCTTTTACTGTTATATTATACTGTCCTAATTGCTTGATCAACGTTGGAAGTTCAAGAATGAGTGAATTTGACAACAAAACTAACATTTACAAATTAAAACTGATATAGTGGTGTGCTTACATGTTAGAATGCTGATGTTCAAAGATAGGTTTGTCGCAGATGCTAACATGCTAATGCACATGATGTTTTGTTTTGCAATGAAAGAACACTATTGATTCGAGGAGGAATCTTGGCTTTCTAGTCGTTACACTGATGTCAGACGTTTCCCAGTGCATCGAGAGGGAGACCCTTACTCTTCCAAACAGCCTCTGAGAACAGTGAAAGTGTGAATGGGTTTTTCAGGCACACCTCACAGAGGTTGTGAGGAATGCCCAGCACTCGCACCCTAAAATGGCCGAAACGTCGCCATTTTGTTTTCCCACTATTTTGCTGTGCGGAATAGCAGAATCAGATTTGTTAAAGCTACAGGAGACAGCTGGGGAAGCCATGTTTTACATCGTCTGTTTACTGCAAAAGCGTAGCTTACGCAATGTTGTCTTGTTGGAATGAGCTCAGATTTTGGCAAAACGGGCACGAATTCCTGGCGAAGGATCAAGCCTTTTTTTCCTTCATGATCCAATGCCAGCCTCGCTAGAACGAGTGAGTAATTTAGCTTTGGCTTTCAAAATTAGCGCTTCCCTTTTAGCCTGCATCCTTGTTCAACTCCTCACAGTTCCCTGTTTAATGTTTGATCGCTTTCCCGACTCGTGTCTGGAGAACACACATGCTGAGCTTCAACTACTGTTGTTTTTCGGCAACTACATAGAAATAAGTAGCTCTGTGATCTATGGCAGAACCATTCGGGTTATGTGACTGAATGACTGAAGTCAGACCGTTCTTAACGTAGATTGACGACAAATTGAACTTTTTTTTGACACCTTGCATTAAATAATAAAATATCACACTAAGTGGCATCTGCAAACAAAAGCTGCACAATCTTTTCTCAGAACTAACTTTGATTTTCTGAGACATTCTTTGCAATTACTTTTTACCAGCTGGTGTCAAGATGATTTGTATGATGTACGAAGTTAGTTAACAGGTGATGAGAATCACTTTAACTATGAACATGATGCACTCAATTGCAACCATTGTAAAAACAAAGCACATTTAAGTACAGCATACTTAAAAAAGAGTACTTATCACATATATAATAATATATTTAAGTGTGCACTGCTTGTATTGTTTTCAGACACTTAACTGCATGTTATTTACAATTTACATTTACAGTAGTACATCTGTACATCTATTGTTTTTGAAATAAAGTTAAAGTTACTGCCGAATGTACTGACAAGCATTTATGGAAAACTAAAATATGCATTACTGACATTTCTATTGAAACTTTTAGGGCTGTGAAACGATTAATCGCAATTAATCGCAGCCAAAATAAAAGTGTGTGTTTATATATACATACTGTATATGCATGTGTGTGTGTATTTATATACAAAATAATTATACACACTACACACACATATATTAAGTAAACACCAACTTTTATTTTGGATGCGATTAATCGTGATTAATCGTTTCACAGCCCTAGAAACTTTTGTGTCAAGTACTTAAATATAATTGTATTTACACATTTAAAATTATGAAGCTATTTATATTAACTTTAATGTAATATTGGATAAACCATAGTCATGATAGTGTAATCTCTCAACGCGTTCTCATCCCAAAGCGCGATATAGGACGCTTTTGCAAAAGCGTAAATATCCAACGCACATGGCACCCTTTAACGTCTAATGAGACGCTTCGTTTGTGGTTAAGTTTAGGTAAGGTGTAGGGTAAGGGTTAGACCACTAGGGGGCGCCTTCTGCCCAAATATATCTGCGTCTCATTTCACGTTAAAGGGTGCCATTACGCTTTTGCAAAAACGTCCTATATGGCGCTTTGGGATGAGAACGGGCTCAATCTCTCTAAATGCACTTAAGTGGCCTTTTTTCATTAAAATAATATTATCTGTAAGTACTGTATTTAAAAATAAACTCTTAAGATTTGAAGTACACTACAAGGGTGCATTCAGCACAATTAAACGGGAATATAAATATACTTGCTCACGTGGAATCCAGCTACAGCGGAAGTTTATAGTGCTAACCATCTTCTCTTTCTCTCTCTCTCTTTCTCTCTCTCTCTCTCTCTCTCTCTCGCTCTCTCTCTCTCTCTCTCTCTCTCTCTCTCGGCAGGAATGAATCCTGCGGTCTGCTGTCTGACTGGTTGACGTCTGTTCTGCTGTCCTTGGGGCTGAGGTAGTAGATTGAATAGTTGTGGAGCACGGTGCTCTCTCACTGAGATAACTATACAATCTACTGTCTTTCCTAAGGCGACAGCCAAATCATCCACAAACAACGACGTGGACCCGTTTGAGATAACCACCTCGCACGCTTCCTGCAGTCTGCAGTCGTCCAATGACTCGGAAAGGATATTCAATCATATTACAGAAGTAAAATGGGTTGCGATTGATTTTTCACGTTCACAAGTGTGTCGTAGGATTTGCATTTTGGTGTCTGGACAGGGTGAGGTAGTAGGTTGTATAGTTTGGTGGAAGGGATCAAACCCTGTTCAGGTGATAACTATACAGTCTATTGCCTTCCTTGTGGTACCAACTATCGGCCCACTAGCTGAAACTCACTGAAATTTGTAGTTAGAATATAGTTAGAGTTATCATTCTTGGTGTGAACGGGACTTTAAAGCTGCATGTTTGTGTGCATTGCCTAACATTTTACCTAACAAGCCTGAACAACATCTGTGTGTCTGATGCAAGCTTAACATGCTGATCTAGAATGACAAATCAGATTAAATGAGATTTACTGAGCTCGGATTTATGGCTTTATCAATAATTTAGCTTTTCTGTTGGCTTGTGATCAAACACTTTTCACACATCATAACAGGAAATTCAGTTTCAATCAGACAATATATATGGCCTTGTTCTGTGAATGAATGTCACAATGTCCATTATATGTTCTTGTTCTGTGAATAAATGAGTTTGATTCTCAACACATTTTTGACTTTCCTTTCATTTTAAGTTAAAGGGGTGGTAAAGTATGATTTTCATCAAGTTATTGTTTTATCGAAATAATGAACAGCTGTTTATCTATTCACAAAACTTAGTTTACTCAGTGTATATCAGTTGTATTTAGGTTTAGCCTAACTGTGTTAAAACCATCCTGTACACTGATAACCTTTATACATGTTTCTCTTACACAAAATAGCATCGAACTAACTGGCTAAATACACAAACAGCGTTTGCATTGGTTTACGTTCTTGATCAAATCGAAAAATTACGTCATACAGTATATATACATGAAAAATACATTTACAAAATTAGTACATATCCATATTCAGGTCCAAAATGTTTGTACGCGTTTGTCGTAGACACGAAATAGCATAATAACCAAGTGGCTATAAAGCCAGCGCTGGCATTTGATAAAACTAAAACATTACGCCTGAAATTATACATGCAAATACATTTAAAAATTAAGTGTTACTTACAGGTTGTGTCCCAATAACTGCTGCCTGTTGTTTTAAAGTTGGAACTGCTTCATGTTTTAGTAACAGTTTCTTGTTGAATCCGGTGTTGAATTCGTGGAGATTCTGGAAGCTGTCTTCCGTTAATGCGCAGCACAGAGAGCCAAATTACGATCGTCATTTTCAGGAACATAATCCAACATAAATTGTATCCATTGTCGAACTGCAACGTCCATGTGAAGCCTGAACACAGAAGACCTCTCAGCTGGTGAACATTACACTTTCAACAAGCCGCAGAAATATGGCCATGCCCTTTTTTGTATATTCCGGAGGGAGGGTTGATGCAAATGTGTAGGTTAGTGACGTACCATAACCCAGCTGTAGTCCCAATCGAGTTGTTTTTGTAGGCATTAAACTTCCTGATTTTTAAAAGACGATATCTTTGCTTACATTGAACTTTCAGCGCTGCAACTTTGCAGATACTGTTCATGCACCAACAGCAACATTACACACTATTTAAAAATTTCAATCAACCTCCCCTTTAAAGAAAAGGACTACAACGGTGCGGACTCCTCCCGGGTTAGGGACATTCACAACTCCAAAATGTACATAAACCCCGCCCCTGGGAACACGTACTCCATGATGAGAAGAGGAACAGTTGTTGTATACGATTACATTTGTGAGTCATCTCAAACTTTAGCATCCATCTTTTCACATGCAATAGAAAGTCACTCTTTGTGCATCTCTCAGCTGTTCTTATACGAGCGATTTATAGATTATCATGACAGAATATCCTAATTGGAGATAGTTAAAAGGTTAGATCACCCAAAAATGAAAATTATGTCATTTAATGACTCACCCTCATGTCGTCCCAGCCTGTAAGACCTCCATTCATCTTCAGAACACAGTTTAAGATATTTTAGATTTAGGCAGAGAGTTTTCTGTCCCTCCATTGAAAATGTATGTACGATATTCTGTCCTTGTCCAGACAGGAAATAAAGACATCATCAAAGTAGTCCATTTGACATCAGGAATTTTTGTCTATTTTTGTTGTTGTTGTTGCCCAGCCATATTTATTTGAACCCGAATCCACGGACGCACCAGATACACGTCAGCAGCGTCTTACGTCATCAGCGACAGCGTCACTGCAGACTCGTGAACACGGCTCGACAACAGAACCGGAAAACAATACAATGCTGAATAAAGTCGAAGTTTTTGTTATTTTTGAACCAAAATGTATTTTCGATGCTTCAAAACATTCTAACTAACTCACTGATGTCATATGGACTTCTTTCATGATGTTTTTCTAACCTTTCTGGACAAGAACAGTATATCGTACATTTTCAATATGGGACAGAAAACTCTTGGACTAAATCTAAAATATCTTAAACTGTGTTCCGAAGATGAAAGGAGGCCTTACAGGCTTGGGTGAACTAACCCTTTAACTTCACATCAGCAACATAATGCATTGACTAACCATTCAGAGACGTCCTCAGGGTCGGCGCTATGGTGGGGCATTCGAGGGCCGTGCCCCCCCTAGCGCTCATTGATGCCCCTCCTACCACAGTTTCTAAATCATAAATCAGATGTAGGCTATACAATACCAAATGTTCAGCAATCTATTTAAATAGTACATTGTGTTTAATTTGTTGTCTAAGTGGATCTAATATGTGTTGGTGCCAAGAATTTTCACATGAAGCAATAGATACATCCAATCCGACTTCTCTTTGTAAGTGCTGTAGTGGTCCAGTGGTAAAACCTTAGACTGGCATGCAAGACATTTGGGTTCTAACCCACACTCGCATAATTATTTTTTTCCCCCCCATCATTAAAACCGATTATGTTTATCAGTGGTTGTCAAGCAGGGACATGTTTGAGTGCATTTCACTTTGGATTTCACCGGTACGAATAGAGATTTCGCCGCAACAGATCAAGCGCGCGTCCGTGTGAAGATGTTTATTGTGGCAGCGCGAGCCACAAGAGAACACTTCAGCACCACAGATCGAGTCACCGAGCACTTTGATCACTTGATTTAAAAAACAACACATTTCAGCGTGCTATATCGCCTCTTATTTAACAAATGAATGCTCTGCTAGGTAACCGGATATGTTTTATTTATTTGTATTGGTACATCCGTGCCGCGAGATCGAGATGTATAAAAGTGCCGGGACAACATCGACCCTGGCAAAAAGTGGTGGGGAAATTCGCAAATAATAATTATAAATAATAATTATAATAATAAAAGGTGTTTAATTTTTGTTTTTTTGCGTCAAAATATTTCTTAAACGGCAGTGCCCCCCCGCTGATGACCCAATGCCCCTCCAGTAGATCTGCTCTGGCGCCGACTCTGGACGTCCTGTATTCTATGTTGTCACTTCTTCTTGAGTCTCTCCATTTTTGACAGACTCTGTTTTAACATTAAAGGTAGAGCAATTTCTGTCATTTTAGTGTGTCTGCATGAGGTAATCGCAGCTGCTAACACACACACGAGATCTTGAAACCCCGCCCTTGGCAGCAGCTCATGTGTATTTAAAGAGCCAGTGCGTTTTTGCAAACCCTCAAAAAGTGCCAACTTTAACAATCTGTATAAAAATATCTGAGGGGTATTTTGTGCTAAAACATCACACACACACACTCTGGGGACATCAGAGATTTATTTTAGATCTTGTGAAAATGGCATTTTATCACCCCTTTAATGTTGAGCAGTATAGTTATCTTGTGTAAAGACAATCTTGTTTAGCAGAAGTTAGAACTTAACCGATACTGTATCTTTGTTGTGCGAACCTTATAAAAAGGTATCAAATAAACACAATGTATAACCAGTATTTTGTAGGCATGTACTGTAGCTTCAGGAGCCTTTATTTGCATAAAGGATCAGAGCTTTAGAAATCCTCCTTTCTGTGAATGTGAATGCAAATAATTCTTGAACTATTGAACTACTGGCTGAAAATTATATTTAAAGGTACATGGTAACTTTTGGCCTTTTTTGTCATTAAAAAACAAAACTCCATGTTTTTACATAATGACATTGTTTTGGTTGTGCTTCGGCGCGGCGTTACTGTGTGGATCTTGCTCGTAAAACATTCACTACTCAGCTTAAGAGGTAAAACCAGTTTAGATGGAAAGGATCTCAAGCTGACTGTCTGATGACGTTACTGTAGCTTTACCCATTAATAGACACGATACTTCCTTGAAAATAAATCCACGCTAAAAAGCCATGGCAATGTTGATTCTTGTTTTATTACGATCTCTGTCGCATTCTCTTTTTGCTAGCAGACTCTCCTCTGTTCGGTGTTTGTTTAAAACGGGTGATTCCACGGGGGTTGAGATTTATCTGATCAATGTCAGGCTTTCTCGCTCGCTCGCTTGACAACTAACCTGGGGCGCGTTTCCTGTACAGCGGCGTAAATCGCTGCTTCACTTCCACGGTACGATGCGTTGTTGAAGAAATCAACTAGCTAGTCAAGACCGTTTCCCGACAACCATATTGTCGCAAAGTAGTCGTTCATCCACGTTGGTTTATGACGTCACGCACATGGAGTTTTTTAATTTTAATTAAACTGTTTGAGAATTAATTAATGCTAGATGTTTTGATGTAAATTACAGACATGGCATCTGAGGATTATTTCTGATTTTTCTCATTGGCTCGTTCTTATGTACTAGCATGTTCGCACATGCGCAGTCTTCAAAAAATGGTGCATTAAATCTCTTGACAAACTCAAAGACGTAAATGACATTTGTATGTATTCTAAATATAAGACACCGGTTGTACTTGTCAGCTTTCTTATTTTGCTCAAGATAAGGATTTATTACGTCCAAATGTGTTGCAATATAGAAACTATGGCTCTAATCACAGGTCGAGAGCTGTCGTTCCAAACACACAACTTTGCGATGCTGTTTGCGAATTTTCGTTGTTTCGGGAAACACCGACTCGTTGAACTATGCTGAAAACGACTGAACTTGCGACCAAAGTTGGCTAACAATGCTTTTGGGAAACACACCCCTGTGCCACTCACACACGAGACACATCAAAGTAAATGGGGCAACTTTTCGAGACACGACGAGACATGCACAGGCGAGTGAGGCATGTATGAGGCAATTTCCCACTAGGTCGAAATTATAAACACTAAATACTAGTGAATCTGGGTGAGACAAAAATACGTTTTGGAGGAAGGATTGATGTATTGACTAGCTATTTAAATTTTGTTCATTTTTAACAAAAAAAAGTTAGCTAAGTTACATACCTTAACTTCTGAAACGATACATAGATGGAAACAAACTAAGTGACATCCCACTGATTATATAACTATTTAAAGCTGCAGTCCGTAGCTTTTTTGGGTTAAAAATTATCCAAAATACACATTTGAGAAAATACATAACCAGCGCGTGTTCAAAACTCTATGCATGCCTTGCCCGATTCAAAGCGGTAAGCTTGTAATAATGTTTTTAATTCCAGTGCTACTGGTGGATTTCCGCACGAGATTCGAGCATGATCTTTGCGTCATTACGTCACATCTGCACACACACATCTAC